GGAGAAATGTGTGGTATAAAATGATAGGGTTGTGACTTGACTTTTACATCAAGGAAATGACAGTTTGCACCTCTTGGTTTAGTTGTCACAGTTTAATAATCAGAGATGCCATGAAAGTGAAAATTCAATGACATGATATGCTTAAAGCCTGATTTAGAATAACTGGGCTTCAAATTGAATCATATTAAACTAATACATCAGCTGAATACCAGTTTTGTGTGGTAGGAGGTTGTTATGACTACTTAAGGATAATGTTAACAATGCATATGACTAAAATCTGCTCTACGTTTGTATTTACTACAATAATCCTGAATAAAAAGCAGAAAAACCATATCATATTTCAATTATATAAATCAAAAAATAAGAAAAGTAATTTTCATTTTTAGTAAATAGCTCATCACAGCTTCAATATTTAAGTGATTATAACTTCTGTTTATTCAGTGCTTTGTGTACTCGGTGTGAATATATAATTTATGTATCACACCTGCCTCTTCTTCTTATCCTTAGACTGTGACAATTAGAATGTTGCCCACTGTAATTTTTGTGATGTGAAACACATGTCTTAATTTGTTAAATAACTAAAAAACAAAAGTCTTATTTCAGGAAGTTATTTTATATTTGTTTCAGTCAAGTTGAAGAGAAGCAGCATATGGTAATTTGAATCACAAAGTGCTCCAGCCAGAAAATTTAGCTCTTTCAGTGCATTGGCAGAGACTTTCTTGGCCCCACTATATACACATGACAGGGTCATCATCCAGAACCCTCTAGTAGATCACAGAATGCAAACAAGACTAGGCAATGCCCAGCAGAGTAAACTTATAATTGAATAAAAGACACTTTAGCACTCTCCCAAGATCAACTTTTCTCTCCATGATAGACTCCGGAGATAGCCACCAATTCTCTGAATAATTCTCATATAAACCTAATGTTTAGAAAAATTGGTATAAACAACTTTGTGGAAGACCCAGACTAATTTTCAATTATCTTGAAATCCATTCATGGAGGCAATCATGGGTGCTCACCCCTCCCATGAACCAACAGAATTCCAAAACACAGAAATTACTAATACAAACTAACTAGTAGACTACTAAGTAGAAAACCCAGAAAGGGAATGTGAGAATAAATGGCCAAATTTTAGACCATAACTCAGCAATCTACAAAACTAAGGAGAAATGTCTACTAAAGCAGGGCGTACAACAGACAAATCATAAGTTTTATGTTATGTAACAACACTGAACAGGCCCCTCCCACTGGACATCTGTAGAAGCCACTCCACCTACACGGTAGGAGGAATTTCCACTTCATATGAGTAGCCACAGGAATTACAAAGGGTTATGATCAAAACAGACAAAAGGATTATGACCCATCCTTTACAAAATATTGCAGATTAAAATGATTCAGATGATGCATAAAACCAAAAACAAATAAAAAAATCACAAAGCAGATAAAAATAATATTAGAACATAATTAAAATTATACTAGAATATAACAAAAGAACAACAAGAAATGAAGAAAACAAAAGATATAAAAGTACTAAAAAACTAGAAACAGGGAAACACAGAAATGATGTCTCAATAACAGCATATTGAAAAAATCAGAAAGATGTTCACAAAATAATTTTAAAATAAATCGAATGAGCATTTTAGAAAGAAGAGTAAGCTCAAAGGAGCACAGGGTTAAAGATGGATTGGTGAATATAAGGAGGAACCAGAATGGAGATAAAAATGAAAGGAACCACATACAAAGAAAAGGATGGGAATGAAATGTGGAGACGTGGTCCTGGTGCAATTCAAATATAAAAGGAATCCAGAAGAGCAATACAGTATGGAATAAAATAATGTAATATACTTAGTAATCTATGTCCCTAAAATTCAACAGAAAGACATAGTCTCATAGAACTACTGACTTTACCAATAAAGTACTCAAGAGAAAATATCAAATCACTTAGAAGAAAAACACATTTTAGCAGCAACATTTTATAACCACGAGGAAAGGAAAAAAGAGTAGCATAAAAGCAACATTTGAATTTGAATAAATAAATAAGATCTTTTAAAAAAATTAGAAAATTAAGTAAACCTAACCTAAAGTGGAACAAAACAAACAAAAATAGTATTAGCTACCTAACCAAAAGAAACTCTAGTCAAAATAACAAAAAAACACACAATTAGGATAAAATACAAGTGAAACTGAGGAAATTAATTATTTTAAGCAATCTTATTTTAAAAATTAAACAAAATAAGTAATGAGTAATATTCTGAGAAAATATACTCCAACAAGCAGACCCCAATAAATCAGGCAAGTATAAACATTGATTTCCATAGAAGAGATAAGAAATGTTGCAGAAAGAGCATATGAAAGAAGCACAGAACCAGATGGTTCCTTGGGGGGGTTATACTGAAATCTTAGAGTTACAAAATTTTATGAGTACTCAGACTATTTTAGAACATAGAAGTTCCTTCACACACATACACACACACACACACACACACACACACCACACATACACACACACACACACACACACACCACACATACAACACACACACACACCACACACACACACACACACACACACAGAGGAGAGAACAGAATTATCAAAGTCTGACGAAAGATTTGACATGATTTAAAATAAGGAAAGTAATATAAAATCTAATGAAATAGCATATTAAAACAGAATAAAAATGTATCGTGACCTCGTGGGGTTTCTTCCAGGAATATAAAGATAGTTTAATATTGGGAAATCTATTTCTTACAAGAAGAGAAAAATAATCATTTGACAAAATTCAGAAACTATTCATGATACATCTCTCAACAATTGGAACTAATGTTTATTTCCTTAAGCTGACAACATATACATATTTCAAGCCCAACTGCTTTAAATTACTAAATTAGGACACACTAGATTTGCTGTAGATAAACCAGGAGCAAAATGAGGACATTCAGCCTCTAACAATATTTAAAATTTTATTAACTGTATTAGCCAACCCAATTAAAGATGTCAAAAGGATTGGTGTCATAAGAATTGGAGAGAAAAAGACAAATTTATCTTTATTTGCATCAGATATGATTTCAAAATAGCAAAAGAATGAACAGATGGACTGCTATAAGTAATACAAGAATTTAGCAAATTTAGTAGAGTTTCAGAATATATTAATATGTAGAAATTAGTATCCTTCATTTAAAAGAACAATAGTAATTTAAAGTATATAATTGAAGATAAAATCTCATAAGATGGCAAAAATGAAGCAAAACTATAACAAAATGTGCAAAGTCTATATGATGAAAACTATAAAGCACTATAAGATACAAAGGCAGACTTATTAGAATTTCTGTCTGGCATATTTTATGGTGATTATGTGGAAAGAGACAACAGTATACATTGCTGGTAGAAGTATAAATACTTTCTGGAGAATAGAGTTTATAAAAACTATTAAATGACATTATTAGGAAGTAATCAGCCAAGTCTAGAATGAAGAATATCCAATAAATCAACTTATTTATCCCAATGGATAAATGGAATGGAAAAATATTTCACAGAATGTGTGGGGCTAAAACTTAATTGAGTTAAAGAGACTTTAAAAGACATTAAAATGTAACAACCAAATACATTTTGTGAACCTTGTTTAGGTCCTGATTAAAAACATCTGTAAGAAGAATATTTGTGACAATTGGGGGAGTGTGAATATGGATTGGATATTATCCTGCATTGGGAATTATTGTTAATTTTGCTACATATAATAATAGTGATTATGTAAAAAAACTGAAAATTCTATCAGTCAGCAATGCACAGGGAATTATTTCATACATGTTTCTCAGATTTGCTTCAAATTGAAACAAAACTGACCAAATGTTGATCATTGTTAAAGTTGGGAGTCATTACCATTCTAATTGTTTAAACTTCAAAAACTCCTTAATAAAACATTAAAAATGAACACTGCAATACACTGACCTGTAACCACTCTCTATTAAGAACAGTACACAAAGCATTATATATGAAGAAAAAACACATTTTCAGCAGCATTTTATACCCACAAGGCAAAAAAGTAACACAAAAGCAACATTTGAATTTGAATAAATAAATAAGATCTTTTAAAAAATTACCAACAAATTAAGTGATTCACTTGGTTAGCCTAAAACAAAGGGGAGCAAAACAAACAAAGAATAATACTAGCCACCTAAGCAAAAGAAACTCTAGTCAAAGTAACAAAACCCACACTGATAACTATGCACTATGGATCACTTTTAATGTATCAAAACTGTTGTACAGAATGAAACACTTTCCTCCCCAAATTTCTTGACTTGAGATTCTGATACAACCAATAAATAAGAGCCAGGCTTTGCGTCAAGTCTGTCATGTGTCAAGTCTAATGGCCACACCTATACTGTATTAGACTGCCTCCCTAAATCAGTACAACTTAAAATTCTCTACAGATAGCATCATCTGCATATTTTAACCACTGTAAACGTTAGTGCTACAGAAGAAAGAGATGTCCTGTGTCAGAAATTTTCTCCCTTTTCCTTTCACTTAAAATTTCTGTCTCCCAAAGGCACCATTTGAATGCTACACATTCTTTTCCTTAAAGACCCAGATTCCTATCCATCCATGTCTTTTCTTTGTATGAATTTGTACCTTCAAAACACCTCAGGTTAATGACATTTTGCTGAATACTATCACTCTGACTTTATCATGTAAAATTTATCCTGTGTTCCACAAATCAACAAGTATTAAGGTCCCTCCTTTGGGCCAGTCTCTGTGCTAGGCTGTGTGTTCAGTCTTAGGTAACATAATAAACCTATGTTATGTGCCTAAAAGCCTTGGGTGAACCACCTAGTTTCTTTCTAGATATCCCGACTTTGTATCTTAAAAATATTCTTGTGCAATATATTCCTATCGCTTTGTGGAATTTTGTCCTTTTTAAAGCATTTCAATATGAATAAAATGAAAAAGGGTTGTTTTGATGTGTTTTGCTTATGAACTTAATTGACATGGAACCACTCACCTTGACAATACCCCGGATGTGCATTTTTGCTATCATCTCTGCCGTGTAGAGAAACATCAATAAAGTATCCAAGGTAAAGGTCACATACTGAAGAGGAGGATAGTGCTCGAAGGTCACAGGCGTATTCATGCAAACTGAGATGACACTGATGATTGCACAGATGCGCAGCAGAGAGTGGACCCACTGCAACAATTGTCCAGAGTTACTTTGCGATGCTATGAACTTTGCTAAGAACCACGATATTTGGAGAAGTCTTAACAGTAAGGTTAAAAATATTTCACCAGTGTGAAGGCAAGGAATATGCTAAATATTTTCACACGTTTTATAGTGCTTAATTCTCAAAGTAGCTAATTTTCCACATGAACGTTAGGAGGGACATTCCTGTGGTCATGCATGAACAAGCGCCAAATCCCGGATTTAAAGATGGTCAGGCTATCCCAAAATGTCTCCAATAATTTTTAGGGTATCAGACCACAATGTATGAAAAATTTGGTTCTGTGAAATTATACATTAGCAATTCACTCACCTAGAACACTGATGTTACTTTTGTACTTTTTATACTATGTGCACCCAGAACTGGGGATTGTATTCCATCCACTGTAACTTCCCCAGGGTCTAGCACAATGACTTATCCTACCAAATCACAAACGTGTTTCAAAATGAATTGATACATGACACTGCCTACATACAGAGTTTTCTTTCTATTTGTATCATATGCAATCTCCTTACATGAGAAACACTTCAAAATATTTTTAAAAGTCCTTTCTTAAATGACTAATTAAAAAGATAATAAGTGGGGTTTCATTTTATTTTGGAGAACATGTTTTGTACATGTTCAAACTATCTTTCAAAATTGTAAAAAAAAAGTTACTATGTAATCCTAACAGCACATCCATTCTCTGAAGATTTTCTTTAACCCCCAAATAAGAAGATTTAAAATTATAAGTGGGTTTACATGTGTATATGTATACAACATACAATCATTAGTGTACAATATTTTATTATGAAAAGTCACTGGGTGCATGCCTATATAGAATCCCAGCACTTGGGAGGCTGAAGTAGGAGGATAGCAGTTTCAAGGCCAACTTGGGAAAGGAAGAAAGAGAGAAAGAGAGAGAGAGAGAGAGAGAGAGAGAGAGAGAGAGAGAGAAGGGAGGGAGGGAGAGAGGAAAGGAGGGGGAGAGGAAAGGAGGGAGAGAGGAAAGGAAGGAAGGATGAGGACTGGAGGTGTGGCTCAACTGTAGAGTGCCTGCTTTGCAGGCACAAAGCCCTAAGTTCAAACCCCAGTTGCACCAAAAAACGAAAAAAAACAAAAACAAAAAACCAGTGTGTAGGGGGAGGTGGTAGGGAAAGGCGGAAGGGGGTGGATATGGAGGGCAAAAAATGTGTACACGTATATGTAATGCAAAGACAATACCTGTTGAAACTATTACAGGAATCAAGGGAGAGAGAGAATAAAGGAGAGCAGTGTAAGGGGTGGATTCAAGTATGATATATTTGATACATTGTAAGAACCTTTGTAAATACCACAATGTACTCCCACCCAGCACAGCAATAAAGGAAAAAAAAAGACATATCTTAAAAATGCTTGCTACAGCTACATGCTAAAGCCACAGATTTAATATTATTAGTGAATCATCCAGGACACAATTATCAAATGCAATTTAAATGTCATTTGTTATCGTGGATACACAGGTAGCTATGAAAAGATGAAAAAGAAAAGTTGTCAGAATCTTGAGAAGACTTAGACACTTGTAGGCTAGTGAATGGATTCTAATATTTGCCTGACAGTTACAATATTTTCATGAATGCCACCAATTCCATACACACAAGCCACTAGGATTCAACTTATTTTAGGCATTGATGTTTGTTTCATGCACGTTAAAAGCCCTTCAATAAATATCAAAGTGTGAATTTAGCCCCATCTAGACCTCCAACAGAAAAGATCTAATTACCAAAAGATGTTTCCACAGCAAACCTGCTTTGAGTTTAAAGAATTATAATTAAGCATTAGTGATTTCAGTTAGTTCCTCTGAGGCTACATCTATAACACCTCTTCAGACGTTCTCCAAAAGTCCTGCACGGAGTAGCAAATGTTTTATCCTCTCTTCCATTCAATTCTCCAAACATGAATGGAAGACCTACTACGCATCAGAAATACTGAGCTATAAGGACCGAGAAGTGGAAGCAATACGGTCTGACTCATTTCTATTGTGTAGTACAATAAGTAAAATATATGTACATTATTTATTCAGGGGTATCTGCAGGGGATTGGTTCCAGGACCCACCTGCACTTACCAAATCAGAGGATGCTCCAGTGCCTCATAAAAAATGGGATTGTATTTGCATGGAACTTACACGCTTCCTCTGGTATGCTTTAAATCATCTCAATATAACTTCTAATATCAATACTATGCAAATGCTATGAAAATATTTGTTATACTGCATTACTTACGGAATAATGGTATGGGAAAATTCTATACAAGTTCATTACAGATGCAAATCTTTTTCAAACATTTCAAACTGTGGTTGGCTGAATCCGTGGATGCAGAACCTACAGCTACAAAGGGCCCACTGTATTTATATTTATATGCAAAATGCATCTATATTAATACACAAATTTAAAATAGGGCAAGTGGAAAGAGTAGAGGTTCATTCTTCCTGTTGCGGGGAGGGGAAAATAAGGAGAAGAATACATGGGTGCAATATTGGGTAGCCCTAAATGGTGAGGGGGATTTGGCTTATCAGAATAGTCAGGACAGGACCTTGAAGGCCACAGAACAGCGTGAGCAAAGGAGCAATGTGAACTAGTGAGACAGGAACAGGAAGAGGCTGCTGAGGCTCACATGGATGGTATGAAAATACAGAAAAAGGGTGGCTTCTGGCTAGGCTAGAGCCTACATAGGAACAGCTGTGAATGAAATGCCGATACATTTTAATTTGTAATGAGGGTACCAGGGATGTTTCAATGGCTGTAAAGCAGAAGGGTTCTGTGAGCAAAAAGAGCAAGGTAAGGAGAAATGTGAGCAGGCTGAAGAAGCTGTCTGGAAGGTAGGCTAGAAAAGGACACAAGAAAGGACAGGAAGCAGCACAGGTAGGGTAGGGACAAGCACTGAGAGAGGCAGCAAGTCAATTTGTTTTGTCACCTCTGCATTGACTGAGTTTAATAAGGAAGTTTCTTCTACTTTGCTTTGTGAAGGGGAGCTCTGAAGACATCCGAAGCCATCACTGCTTAGTCCTGGTGACTGTGCTGTCCTGCATTCAGTGATACCTGGCAGGCAGCTCCTCCTCTCACATTCTCCTTGACTTAATTAAGCAGAGAAGGTGACGAAGTTCTGCAGAGATACTGTTCATTATCTCAACATTGACTTTGACTCAAAGCTTGCAACTTGGGAGCTCTTTAATTCCAAGCATGTGCTTACATCTCACAGACTCATGGATGTTGAGAATGACAAGCAAAACAGGTTGGTTGAGAATGGATTGACCTGGGAAGCAGAATTATCTCTATACTGTGTGACTTTGAGGGCAGAGTGTCTAGAACAGGGTTGGGAGGGAAGCAGACCACTTGGCATATCTTCCCATAACTGGCAGTAGCACCTCATCCCTAACTTTCAGACTGCAAGACTCATTCATATTCCACTGCAGCTCAAACAGATACTTCAAAGCCAAAGGTACATGAGTTTTGAATTTATGAATCAAATTTCCCTTATATCAGCATGTGCTTCTCCACACTTTAAAAAAAAAAAAAAACTTACTGGCTTGTTAATCCAGAGTATGTCAGCATTGTCTGAGAGAGACTCATCAGGACCAAAGTCAGTAACTGGCTGGGCTTCCACCCTGGAACTCTGCTTCCTTTTGAGCATGCTGGAGTTAGCTTTGGAGAGCAATTACAAAGTCACAATCTGGAAAAAGAGAGAGCTTCATTCATTACCTAATCTATTTTGTTCTCATCAAAAAATATGTATATTTATGCATTTGCAGATCAGACCTGTATTCTATTCTACTGTATATGTAAACAGACATTTTAAAATGATGAGACAAAATTAATATAAATAAAACTTGATTTTTATCTCTTAACCCAATAGATTATCTTATGTATTTCATAAGAAGTTTAGAGGCTACTGGTGTAGAACAGGTGGGATAAAATAGCTTACCTCTTGGGTACATATATCATCAGGAAATTTTTTGAGTTATAGGTCCATACACTTCAAGCTGCCTCTACTTCAAAGTGGTCTGCACAAAGCAGTCCTGACTAACACAGATGAAACACCTCGGTTTTCCTAGGGTTTTCTCCTATGTCATTTCAATATGACATTCACAGACCATCTCCTATTTCCAATAGTAGTCCCAAGTCAATCTCCCAATTTTGCCCTTCCCAGAAAGAATGGAGAACAAAGAGAAGGGGGTAGAACCTCTTTTACATGGTATATTTTTATGAATGTAGTGATTATCTAAATCCCTCCAGCTACTCTGAAGTAAATTCTACATCAAATTCCATTGAAGAGGGAGATGAGGTTCTTGTTTGGCACTTATGTATCCATAATTCTGAGTCATCTCATGCTTTATATTTGTCATCTCCCTATGACCATTGCCACCACCTTAACAATTCAGCAGCCATTGCAGAAAGGCCTACAATGTGTTTCCCCCACAGGAGACAAATGGCCAATATGTGTAATATAACATGAGAAGAGATGTTGTCAAGGAAACAGGTGTCTTGTTACCCCTGAGTCCTCAATGAGACATCCCATTTGATTAACACTTGATTGAATAATAAAGGAAGGAAAAGTATCTAATACTTTTTGCATATATATTGTGTTTGATAGTAGTGTTTTGTTTAATCTTTACAATAGGTCTAACAGAAAATATCTTCTTATGTATGCATGAGAAATTCCAACCTCAAGGCAGGTGACAACTTAATCAAGGCCACATAAGATAATTTGAAATTGAAAACAAGCACTGTCTGATTACAAAGAGTAAGGTGTTTGGAGTTGACCAAAGAGGTTCTAAGAATGATTAAGGAAGCAGCCCACCTGGCACATCTTTCTATAATTGTCAGTGGTACCTCATCTTTTTGTTTGAATTGTCCTCAACTTCTAAACTGCAAGACTCTCCTTCATATTCCACTGCAGCTCAAATAGATAGTTCATCTAGATAGAACCTTAATGGTAGATAACAGGCATAGAAGATAGCTATGGAAATGGCAAACCAGGAAAATGTGGTTATTTCAATACTAAGAGGCTCAATGGCTCTCTTAACTGGTATCCCAGGGAGCTGAAGGAATAAACCTAAGCAAGGACAGTAAGTGCCACTCAGTCCTCATCGGGACACAGAAAGAACAAAAATGTCTTTGCAGCATGTATAATTATATGCAGCTGCAGTTTTCACTGGGGGAAAGAGTTCACAACACAGAATCCCAGGACAAAGCACCTTTGAATCTGATTCTCCATGTTTGAGCATCTGCTTCTCTCACTGCCTGCTCCTCAATTCTCAGTCTACCTCTGTCTATATTCTATATCCAAAAGAAATCAAGCTACTTGTCATTAAGATATGCCAGGTATTTCTTAGTTATTATTGCCTTGAACACTGAGTTTAAATATGGGCTTTGCAGTAGACTTCACTAATTAATTTTATTTTACATAATTGGAATTAGGGATCTTGACATCCCATGTAAATGTATGCAGAATATTCAAATTATGCTTATTCTCTGATTTACTGTGTGCAAGGGGAACATCTGGTAGCCTCAATTTGGGATGCTTCTTGAATGACAGTCTCCTGCTTACCCAAGGTTGGATGCAAAATCTTTTAGTAATCCTTCAATATGACACAACACAACAGAGGAAGTACAAAAGTAGCTTCAGAATGGAATTCAAAGATTATACAGGAATCTTATAAACCTAGCCACAATCCCTTTTCCAGTTACCCAGAGGAAACTGAGAGAAATGTGAATTCTATGCACCTTTTATTACCAACCTGAAGCAAAATAGATTTTTGATTGATTTATCAAGAGAAACAGACATCCAGAATTTATTTTTAATAGGATCCATTGGGGCTATATTTGACCCTTCAAAACAGTGCAACTATAATTGAATGACAATAGTGGTCACTAACTTTGATGCTCACTTTACCGTTGCCAACATAATACCAAATCACACAGTGCCAAAGACACAATTTATGCAAACTCCAAAGAGACCCAGCTAATCCATACATACATTAAAAGGCTCAACAAGTAGCTCCTGATACACAGAAATTTTGATTGGTTTAGTAACATCAAATATTAAATGAAATATTCAGTTAGTAAAATAAATTTAAGTTACAAACATATGAGGAATCTAAACTACTTTGAGGCAGTTAATTATAATATTTTTCCTTTGCACTCAGTAATGTACACCTTCATTTGTGTTGAATCAATACAACAGGTTATTATTCCCCTGATAAAGACCAGGAAGGATATTTAAGTATCCTAGGTAAGCTTTATATTTTGATAGGAAATTGCTTCTGTGTATCTCTGCCTTATCACTATTATGTATTTATAAGCCATTTTTTCTGTTTCTACAAGTATCCTTGATAAAGCAGTGCAGTATGTTTGACGAGCATGGCTTTCAACAGCTTTTTCATAGTTAATAGAAGGAGTTGCTATGCTACTTAACTAGTTGAGCATTGGAAGAGGGGCTGCAGAGTGACAATATGTTCACTGATAAATCTTCTACATCAAAATAGCAAGCAGCAACTCAGGGAGAAAACATACTGTGGTTTATTGCTCTTCTTTAAATAGTTAAGATCTATAATCTGTGATAACAATTACATTCTATATATTGTCAAATATTTCTGTCTACTTAACTCCTACCCTTTCTTGACTTGATTAAAATGAAAATATTCAGTTTTCTTTAACTGTGAGGTGCTTGCAATTATGGTTTGTAGAATCTCTTCTTCCAGTTTCCCCATTTTCCTATCTGATATACTTAACCCTTTAAATGGTCACCTGGTC